TCTGAAGTCACAATCTTAACCTCATTAGACTTCCTCTACAGATATTAAGAATTTGTTCAAATCTTAGGTCTTTTCTTTCCCCTTGTGATTTTTTTAAAGATTATTTATTTATTCACTCATGAGAGATAGAGAGAGAGAGAGGTAGAGAGAGAAGCAGAGAGAGAAGCTGGCTCCAAGCAGGGAGCCTGATGCGGGACTCAATCCCGGGACTCTAGGATCACGCCCTGGGCCCAAGGCAGACGGTAAACCGCTGAGCCACCCAGGGATCCCTTTCCCCCTCCTTGTGATTTTAATAAGCAAAGTCTCCCTAATCTTGCTCCTCTTCAGCTGAGTTTTTCCATAGGGCCTTATATCGCAACCTCCTTCAATTCGCTTGTATCAGGCTTAACATGGCATATTCTCTCTCTTATTCAGCTTCAAGTCATCAGCAAATATAATTTGACAAGTCTCTATTAAGTAGAAGAATAAAGCCAAGGGCTCTGCCATTACATGTATTTCTCTCAAGGTGTATCTCTATCAAGTAATCATTTCCTAATGGGGGTAATGTTCAACTTGTTACCAATTCACTGATCTGAATTAACATCCAACTTGCATTTCTCTATCTTGTTGACAACTACTTCTTGAAATATCACATGATCTTTTTGGTCAATATAACATCTACAGCAAAGATTCATTCTAAGAAACGTTGACCCATTGAGAACTGTGGATGGAAAGCTGAAGTGGGCATGCAAAATTATATACATGATGGTTTTGAGTGTTTAAACTATTTTATTTATTTATTTATTTTAAATTTAAATTCAATTAACCAACATATAGTACATCTATTAGTTTCAGATTTAGACTTCAGTAATTCATCAGCTGCATATAACACCCAGCACTCATCACATCACATGCCCTCCTATCACCTGGTACCCCAACCCCCACTCCCACCACCCCTCCAGCAACCCTCAGTTTGTTTCCTACAGTTAAGAGTTTCTTATGGTTTGTCTCTCTCTCTGATTTCTTCCCATTCAATCGCACTATTAGGCATTTACCCAAAGATACAAATCTACTAATGATATGATGGGGCACCTGCACCCCAATGTTTATAGCGGCAATGTCCACAATAGCCAAACTATGATAAGAGTGTTTACATATGTTGAGGAAAAAAATCCCACCTCTGCTTCCCTAAGACATCTGAGTTGAGGAAATATATAAAGAGCAGAAGGTGAATAGCAGTTGCATCAAGAACCTTTCCTGGGATCTGCACACATCGACCTAACCCTATTGCAACTCCAATATCACAGGGGGAGCAGGACTCCAAGGGAGCCACTGGCATTCATATGTAAATCTGTGGCTTGTCCAGCTTCCTCCATTGGAGCCAAGGTCAGATGCTTCACCTTCTTGTCTTTCCCTCCATCTGTTAGAGCAGGACACTGTCATTGCTTATGCCTTGGTACCTCTATTATCACTGAGGAAAGACTGACCATTGTAATCGCAGTCTTTTTTATTAGAGAGGAAAGAAGTCCAAGGCTCTGTCCCAACAAGTCCTAGTCTGCTCATCTCTCAGAACTGAGTCTATTCAATATTAATCCATTCATCAACCTCATTGTTTAGTCCCATAGAGGGGTGACTTGTACCTATGGAGAAAAAGACCCTCTGCTCAAATATAAACAGAAAGGAACTTGACATGTCAACCACCCTGGCCCAACCGTCTTAGACCCTCCAAGGACACTGCTGTGAGGCCCCACAGAGCCAATGGGGCATTCTGGGTAATGGAATGAAACATGATGCAGCCCCCCCACACACACACCTCCCCAGCCTCCCCAGGGTTTCTTGATTCCTGGCTCTGTAAGTGCTGAGGCAAGCAGTTTTTGAACTTGGGGGGAAGAGGGTGGAGAGAAGAGGCGGAGGCTTCCTCTAGGCCAACCACAACTAACTCATTTGCTCTGTCCAGCAAAACCCAGACAGTGCAATTATCTGGTTAATTTGGCCCTTAGTTGGGAGACAGACTTCCAAAATGTGAGTCCAGCTCAGACTAAACAGTGGCTTCCATCCTAAGACTTTTCCTAAGTGTGAGAGGATATGTGTGAGATTCCTGGGGGGTTGCTTATGTGACCCAACCATTCATCCAGATGGGAAAAAACAATCATTTCAGACTCTAAGATGAGTTTAGGAAGGCATGTCTTTCAGGGAAAAATGCCCAAATAACCTGCTATTTGGCTAATTTGCCTTCTGGCTTCTATGGAGGGGGATGGCTAGAAATCAGGATGATGCTAAATTAGCCAATGTTTTCCAGTATGACTGTAGCCTTCATTGATTGGCTGAGTGTCCCCAGAGCAGAGTGAGTTATTCTTAGGGCAATTCCCAATGTTGCTCCTACTTATAGATTTTATACCCATAAGCTGGGCTAGGGGCATCATTGAGATAAATGGGTAAAATTAAAACATGTCTCTGGGGTTTTCATGAATGGGATGAGACAGGGCTGGCTGAACTGGCAACTGAGCATTTACCAGATGGTTTATGAAAAAAACAGATTTTTGAGGGGGATTAAGAAGCAATGATTTATCTCCCTTGGAAACTGACAAGTAGCCTGGAATCTGTGGAATCTATCAGTCATTCATTCTGCAAATATTTCTTTAGTTCTAGTATGTGCCAGGCCGTGTGCTACTTAACAAAGTGCGATCCAAACAGTCATGGTCCTTATGCTCATGCAAATAATCCCACACCTAAATATATGGATAAGGGCTAAGAAGGCCAAGTTGGGTGCTATGATAGGGAATAACCAAGTTAGCGGATTTAGATCAAGGTGTGAAAGGAAGAGTCTTTGAGGAACGGATTTAAAAGCTAACACTTTAGTGGCCTTAAGTGGCTCAGTCAGTTGAGTGTCTGCCTTCTGCTCAGGTCATGATTTCAAGGTCCTGGGATCAAGCCCACACCGAGCCCCGCATTGGGCTCCCGGCTCAGTGGGGAGTCTGTTTCTCTCCTCTCTCTGCCCTTCCCCTCTGCTCATGCTGTCTTTCTCTCTCTCTCAAATAAATAAAATCTTTTTTTTAAAAAAAGCTAACACTTTAAAGAATCTATTTGGTTTTTTAGAAAGATCACTGCAGCTTTAATAATAAAAATAAATTGGAAGTGGGTAAAAAGAGTTAGAAGGCTATTGATGAGGAAGATTGGATGAGAGCTGATGATGGTTCAGCTGAGGATCTAGGTAATGAGGATGGAGAGAAGTGCGTGGACTGGACACATGGAATGTGGAGTCAACAGGTTCTGGTAGCTGAATGGGTGTAGTGGTGGAGGGAGGCGAAGCATCCAGGAGCCTGTGCAGGTTTCTGACTAATGGGAAGGTAGAGGGTGACACTCTTTATTGAGAGAGGTAACTTGGGAGGACAAGTAAGTTGGGGCTAGGAGAAGATGATGTGCCCTATTTTGGAGTCAACCAAACTGGAATCTCACCATTCCACACTCTCTATTCTTCAGCCCCCTTACTTTTGCTCACACTGCTCCATCTCATGTACACTTCATGTGGCTATATCCACTTATTGAAATCCTACCCATCCTCCAAGATGCCCTCTAAATACCACCTCCTCCTCAGAGCCATTCTTACTCCCTGTGGCCTCTGCTGCCCTTGGCACTAAGTCTGGACTTCTCTTTCCTGGACTCCACCTGCACTGAGGTTCTGTGAAGACTTATCTTGCCTCCCTTCCTAAACCACAAACTTCTTGGGACAGAGCCTCTGTTTCTATATCCTCCTTCCCCACATATTAGTGAACTAGCGAAGTAGACATTTGACAAATATTTGTTAAGTGAACAAAAATAACCTACTCTTTGCCATGGAAGGAAAACCAGTAGACATTGGACTGACTTGAAAGCCACAGGATCAAATTGAAATTCAAGTTTAAGGTGTTTTAATACTAAGCCAACTCAAATTGGATACTCAGAAAGGCTTTCTGTTCCTCTAACACACTAAACTCAAAGAATGCTAAAAAAAGTCACACCCTCTATTTTCTTATTGCACTTTTCTGACTTCATCTTATAGTAGGGACTTTGTCTATCTTGTTAACTCTTTGTCTTTTATGATGATGATGACATCGATGATGATGGTAAATGAATAACATTTACTAAGTGCCTGGCATATGCCAGGTGCTATTCCAAATACCTAGAGACTAACTCATGTGATCCTCATAGCCACCCTATGAAATCGATGCTATTATTACCCAATTGTATAGATGAAGAAACTGAGCTGCAAAGAGCTTAGTACAGCCCAAAGTTGTAGTTAGTAAGGAGTGGCACTGGGATTTAGACCTAAAGTCTGGCTCCAGAGCCCATGCTTTGAGCCTTAGCTCTCCTAAGGCTGAGCACCATGCTTGGCATATACTGAATGAATGGGAGGAGCCCTAGATTTAGAGGTCATAAGTTCTAGTCCCAATTCTGCCACAGATTTCCTATGTAGCCTTGAACAAGTCTGTGTTTCTTTCCCAATAAATGAGGTGCCTGGATGTTGATATTAGAGCCAATATTCATAACTCTTTGAGGTTTTAAATTATTTAATCCCAACAATGATACAAGGAAATTGAGGCATAGAATAATTAGGTTACCTGCCCCATACCTATTAAATGAGAGAGCCAGGATTCAAACCCACTGTGCTCTCTGGCTCCAGTGGTTCCAAGGAGATGCCTTGGGGGTTGTGGGGGAATTGGAGGAAAGTGGAACAGGATGGAGCAGACAGACTTTTGGGTTCCCTGCGCCCATTTCATCAGTTCTCTTGTCTCTACTTGTCTCTATTTTGCACAATGGCCTCCTACTTGAGATTTCCTTTGAAGAAAGGTTCTGCTGCTAAAACAAAAACCATTAAGCTAAATGACTCTGGAATTTAATAAAACTCTCATGTATAAGCCAGGATTTTCTGGTAATCTTGACTCATGGTAGCCACATAACATGAGGATCAAGGCTGCTCCTGAGAATGACTCCCCTATGGAAAACATCAAGGCGATAGCATAAAAGACCTAGCTCCAACCTACCTGCTCCACTCGGATCTCAATCTCTCCATTCACCTTCTTTCCATGAAAATACTTGGTCCTGTGAAAGAGAGGAAGAAAGCTACTGAGTAAGAGTGCAGACTGCTTTACTGTTTTCTTCCTTCTTCCAAAGGCCTTACTTACCCCAAGAAGTGTGTGTCAGACACATCTGTACCTTCATGCTCTCTCCTCCTACCTTGACTGATTTTCTTACTATTTGTATGTACTGTGTGGAAGAAGGGAAAGAATACTGAATGGGAAGATTGGAGCCTCAGGTTCTGGTTCTGCCAGGTGGCTGGACCTCCCTTTGCCTCAATTTTATCATATGTAAAAGGAAGATATTAATACCTGCATGACATATTTCTAAGGGTTATTTTAAAGATCAAATGAGATAAAGAATCCTACATAAGTAATGATTATTATTTTATTATTTTAGTGAGTTACACTCTATATACTTCATGAATTATCTATCTGTCCACCCATTCGTCCATTTGTCAATCTGTCCAATGAAGCAGCCCTCATCTGTCCCTTTATCCAGCCAGACAGCCAGCCAGACATCTTTCCATCATCTTTCCTCTACACCCCTACTTCTATCTTCTCAGTAAATGGCATCCCATCTACCTATTGCTCAAGGGAGAAACATAGACATCATTTTTGTTCTCTTTCTCTCTCCCCATACCCACTAACTCTACATTCTAATTATTTCCCAAATCCATCCACTTGCCCATTTTTTTCTCTATAAGCACCCCAATCTTGGCCCCCTCATCTCTCTTCTCATATCAATTCTCTTTTCATACTCTTCTTTCATAGTACTTATTATAATTATAATTAGTTATAATCAGTAACTGTGTTTAATTCTTCTGTCTCAATATACTATATAACACAGCCTCTTGAAGTAAAGAACAAATACTCTCAACATCTACCAGAGTGCTTAACACACAGTAGGAGCTCAAGTAATATTTGAATGAATAAATGAGTGAAGAGATAGATAGGGAAAAAAACCCACTCGTTGAGTATTTACTCTGTGCCAGAAACTGTGCTGTAGGCTTTAACCTATATTGCCTTTCTCCTTTAATGCTTCCAACCACCACCATGAAGAAAGCATTATTATTTCCAACCTATAAAAAAGAAAACCAAAACCCAGAGAGACAAAATGTTTTGCCTAAAGAACTTTATCCTGTTCTTCTAATTCCACATCTATGTTTTTGTTCAACCTTGAAAAATAGCAGCAAATGCTGGGGTACTCTGGGTTTAGATGTCCTCCCACATACAAGGCAAAAGTAATAAAAGTTTCCGTTTGCTCTTTTGGATTTTGGTATGAAGAAACTAACAGTTCTTAGTCATTTGCTGTAAACTGAGCACTGTGTTAAGCATTTCCATAAACCTTTCTAGGGAAGAGACAGCTCTTTATTCCAATACCCATTCTCCCCTTCACAAAGTAAGGGAGTTTATGGATTGGCGCGTGCGCACACACACACACACAAAAGAATGAATATCCCAACTCTCTATTCAGCTAGGTGTGGTCATGTGATTGAGTTCAAATCAATAATTTGTAAGTAGTCATCTAACAATCTTTAGTTTCTTCTCCTATTCTTTTTTCCTGGAACATCCATGTTGCTATTTTTTCAACCTTTCGTTTGGAAAGAAAGAATCCTTTCTACAAATTCTCTGACCAAACTTCTGTCTGCCTGCTTCCAAAGAGTTTCTATCTACACTCAGCTGATGACAATGGAGTTCATTTCTTTCCAAGACTGCCCAAATCACTGACTGATAGCTCTAATATTAACATTACTTTTTCTCAGAATGTTGACAGACTTAGCTGTCAACTAGGCAAAACTTTAGTGGGATAGGAGCTGTTATTGTGACTTGAAAGGAAGATGTGGTCTTTTTTCTTTCAGGCATGGTGTTTGACAAAACGTGTGGGCAGTGAGGCTTCATGCAAAGGGAACCTTTCCACCTAGTTTGTGAATTTTATCACAGGCTTTAAAGGTAGCGTCAGCAAACTGCAGACACTGGGATAAGTCCACCTCTAATATTTGTGGGGCCTGGGGCAAAAGAACAAATGAAGGCCTATGTATCATATGTCTAATATTTATAATTGATATATAAAGCCAGCAAACATTTAAATAAAACATTTCTGTCTTCCTTCCTTGACAAATACAACTTCATAATGATCTGGAAGGATCAGAATTTAGACTTCGTGGAATTCTTAGGGTTCTACTCAGAACAAGGCAACATGGGTATCGCCATATCTTGGTCTCCACCCTCCTCCCTAATCCTCCTCCCACCCTCCTTTCTGTCCTGCACCACCTAGGCTTTTTGTGCAGGCTCATGGATGGCCCAGCCTATGTGTCATGCTTCATTTCCTCACTCATGCCCCCTCAACTGTGCCTTGGGAGGATTAATCAGGGAACTAGTCTCCACAGGGCATGGAATTGGGCCAGGGTCCCTTTGGGCAAGGAACTCTAGGGTTCTGTGTATCTAGTGCATGGTCTAAGGTATCATTTACAGGGTCCTGTGCAGAGACCTCCTCCATTGTCAGAAGGGGTACAGCCAGTAAGGGCTGGAATCAGACTTAAGCAAGGTTCCTTCTAGCTTGGGTTTAAAAGAAGTACTGGGTGAGACCTCAGAGGGCAACTGATGAGAACAAGCACTGGTACACTTGAAAAAGCAAGACTTGGGCAAAATTTGAGCTCTACAACTCACTCACCACATGTTCTAAGCCAAGGTACTTAACCCCTCTAGGTCATAGTTTTCTCATTTGTCAAGGGTGATAACATCTATAGCCAAGCCTGTAGGGATAAATTCACCTGATTCTCTATGCAAACAAGGCAATAGAGTGTAGCTAACTCAGGGCAACCACATGGATGCAATCCCAGCTCTACCACTTACTGTGCAACCTTGGGTAAGTCACTCAACCTCCAACCTCCGTGTGCTTCACTTTTCCCACCTGGGAAGTGGGGTTACTACTAGTAACTAACTCACAGGGTTGCTGTAAAAACTAACCAAGATAAGATACATAAAAGCACTCAGAACAGTTCCTGCACATTCTTAGTTCCAAAGTACACAGCCCAGGGCCTACCACAGAATCAACAACAAAGAACTATTAAATGTTTTCTCTGTGCCTGTGGGTATTATGTGGTGGGGATCCACAAATAAAACATAATCTTGCCCTCACAGAGGTTGCAAAACAGAAATGTGATTCACATCACATTGATCTGTTCCATCAGTGCAACGAGTGATGGGTGGTGATAATAATAAATAGATGCTGTTGGTATATAAGGCCTGCAAGTACCTTTACATCCTTCCTCCTATTTGACTCTAATATCAACCCTGAGAGAAGAAATGGGGGGGATCAGTCCCCACACGTTCCAGGTGAAGTCTCTGTCAATGACATATAAAATCTCGAAGTGTTATGGTGAGTTAGATCTTAAGGTTCAAGATTTTTGGGATTCTGTTCAGACCCTCTGTGTCCTTCATGATCTGGACCCTGCTGACTTGGCCCATTTCTCCTCTGGTTTTCTGCCCACCTCATGGACATACACAACTTCCTGTGATTCCCCAGCCTCATCCTACATTTGACGCCTCAGAAACTTTGCACAGGCTGTTCTCTCTGCTTAGGATGGCTTCTTGTTCTTCTCTGCCTGGCTGTCTCCAAGATCTTCACTTACCTCCTCCATCAAGTTTTCCCTGAAAGTGCCCCCCCCCCCACACAATGAGGCTGAGTTAGGGGTTCCTCCTTGGGGTTCCATACAGCATCCTATACTAACAACCATTAAAACACATATCATTCCATGTTGTGATTGCATGGTGTTTGTTTTTACCTTGCACCCACATACCTAGTCTGTGAGCTTCTAGAAACCTGAAACTGTCTCAATGCTCACTGCATCCAGTATCTGGTACAAAGTGCCAGGGCACAAGGCACATGTTTAACAAATGTGTGCTCACTGAGTAAATGAACAATGTCTTCCACGGATAAGTCGCAGCATACTCTGTCCTTAAGACACTTTACTGTCATCTACTGGTACACCGCTGTAATACACTTACAATTCTGTACTGATTATGATGTGGGGTTCTTGTACAGCGTCCAACCTGAATGACTGACTGGTAGCCCTCAACTCGATTCTAACCAGAACCCAGAGCACTTTACCCTATAACAATACCACCCAAGCAGCTCTGGCCTTCAAAGGCCTCACCTTCCCAGGAGAAACACTTGTTTTGCCCATCTCTGGAATGTTTACTGCAGAGCCTGGCAGATGGACTCAGGCTAAAGCTGGGGGTCAGGCAGTCCATCCCCCTGCCTGGCTGGGAGTCAGAAGTCTGTCTCCTGACAGGCCACACAGACTGCTGCCTCCTTGCCGGGGGCTCATTCAGGCTTGAGCCGCCTCTGAACAGTTCTGTCTGGCAGAGGGAAGGGTAGGGATGGTTTGGAATTCTAGATGCCTTGGGGGTTGGGGTTGCTGCCTTTGTAACTGCCTGGCTGTTTGACCTCAGGCAAAACTGATGGCCTCACTGTGCCCGAAGGCTGTCTCCCTAATACAGACCTCTTCCTACTGCCCTAATATGTTTATTCTCATAATGAGCTCCCTGAATATCCCAGCCAATCACTCAGGCCTTGGCCTTGGGAAGGGGGTGGGGAAAACTCTTGATTCCAGTAAGCTTCCTTCTCTGTGGGTGGTCTCATATTTTACTGCCACATCAGAGGCACCAGGAAGGAGAATATTATAAAACCAGTGCTGCCTGGGGTGGGAAATCCCAAGTTTGGGGAGGCGGGATGTGGTGTGTGAGAGAGATTTATGAGGAGTGGGTACTGAGTTCTTTCATGGCGACAGCAGGGGCAGAAGGAAGAGGAGAATTAGCACAAACAGGATCCACCTGTGTCCAAGCGGCACCCTCCTAATAAATGTGTCTGGGATGTAAAGTCAATGTGGCTGGGCCTTGGCTATGCCCTTCCCAGGGAGGAGGGGTCAGGAATGTTCTGTCTCAGACACAGCCCTCTTCCCACAGGTCACCCCTGTAGGGAGAGGGCGGGCAGGGATGCAGGGAACTGGCCCTAGGAGG